TGTGCAGGTCGGAACTGAGCTTTGCAAGGCGCCGCCCTAGCTTCTGGCGCAAGAAGAAGGCAGCCTCAAGAGGTATTCTCTTCAATGCATTCTCTAGGAGTTGTGCATGAAATACGCACATGATAGTCTTATACATTTCCCTACCCTGTTGGGCGCCCAGATGTTGATACAGATACCTCTGGGTAGCTACTCTTAAGACCAGGTAGAAAGCAGATCGTCTCCAAGGCTTTCGAGCATTTTCAAAGATAACGGTGTCACGTACTCGTTTTCGCAGTCGGGGCACGTTGGTTGTAGTGCCGTTGGCTTCCAATATAGCCATCAACAGACCAGATATGATCGCAGGGTCGCTTGTGTCTCGGATCTCGGCCAGTTTGGCAGCTGCTTTCCAGGTGATGGCAGCGAACTTTGTGACATATTCAGTGCTCGCCTGCTCGAGAAAACTTGCGAGAGCATCTTGGAAAGAAGGTTCGTTGAAAGTCGACTCAGAGATAGAGACCGCTGATCCAGGAACTATATCGAAGGCTGTCAGGACCTTTTCCACATTCAGTTCATGTGCACGGTACTCACAATCCCATTGCAGGGCACTCTTTGCTGCAAGTACCTTGTCGGCAGTTGCAGATGTCTCGAAGGCCTCAAAAACGATGGAACTCTCACCCACGGAACTGTACGAGTTAGCAGTGTCGTGAGCAATTTCGCATCACTTGAGCCTACCTGGTTTGATGGTATATAAGCAGACCACAGTTCTGAGGGTTGAGGTGAAGTACAAGCATCTTGTGTTGGCCCAGAGTACAAAATTGCTTCATCAATGTAGACTTGCTGAGAGCCCCGCTGACGTTGAGTATTTGGGATGCTTGCAGTGAGCTGTATAGCCCCTCCAAGTGGAATCGTAAGTTCACAGTAGAATAGGCGGTGATCTTCACAACAGCGTCCATCATGCGATTCAACAAGGCGGCATCGATGTGATGGAGGTTCCCATCCTCCTTGCCTGGAACGTCGCGAGGCAGCGCCACATGATTGTACAGCTGATGCAGAAAGTCCAGGCGGCTAGTGGAAGCCATAATTGTTAAGGGAAGATCAGCCGCAAAGAAGCAGCCGGCGAGATAAATTGAGGAGAGGCGTGTTACAGTCGTTGAAAAGATTACTACTGCGAGAATACCTAGGGTGATAAGTAGATTTTGTGCTGAAAACACGTCTGCCAGCACACGGCGCGGTACCTTGGCAAGGCTCCACAGTTGGCGCCTCAGTGAAGGTGAGGCGTGATCAGTGAGCCTTGTGGGTTGGCAGAGATAACTGAAGTTATGCGCACAGCCTTGTCCAATAAATCCAAAGCGCCTACTGAGAAAAGGGAAAGCCACCAGCCGTGCAGGTCTGAAAGCGGCTGAAGATGGTAGCCTACATATGTGTGTCGCAAAATTGCGTGTCGCCTGGGCCTGCAGCATGCACGTAGCCTTGCGTGAATCGTTTTGATCATCCGCAAAAGTCACCAAAGTAGATACAGATTGCTAGTCATATATGAAGCAAGGATATAAAAGATAGGGGATGAACTGTGAATTTGATGTATGTATAAGGATAGCAACAGGGCCACGCAGAGAATGGGTGAGACGCAAGGAGACCAATGGGAGACGAGACAAAGGGAAAAGGGAAAGCTGAGATCCATGGGTCATTTTCCGGCAGCGGGATTGCGGGAGGCTGCTCGAGGCTGCTCGAGGCTGCTCGCAGGATGAAAACATGGTGCATTGTTGGTGAAGGTCGCACTGTAGGCCATTATTAGCTTATTCTCGCAGCGTGAGTATGGTGGGTTGATTTATGTGATACCACACGAGTGTGGCGGAGCAAACGTGTCCATGAAGGGCGCCAACAGAATTGTCGCAGCACCAGAAGTCATCCTTTTGCCGCAACAATACTATGCACTGAAAGTGCGGTTGGAGGAGAATGGACGATCCACAGTTGACGGGAAGGAGAAGAGGCTAACAAAAGGTCCGTCCCGAGGTTTGCCCGTATGCTGCTTAGTTAGCCTGACCGGACTTCCCCTCCTCTGCTTCTAGCTTCGTCACTCCAGCCCGCATCCCTCTTTCCACTGAACGAATCGCGCTCTCGGTACTTGTTAAGTCTACACCCATTCACCAATAATGTCACCAATCATGCACACCTCGCTGCGTACATTCAGGCGAAGCTTTTTCAAGCCTAGGATCCACAACCTGGCCACCGTCCCTCGCAGCGCCATGCTCCACTGGAAGACTCCACCCCACTCCACAAGCGACAAAGACCTCGGCTATATTCTTATCTTCCATACCGTCACCGCTGTGCTATCACCGTTATTCCCGTTGTATTGGAAACCGCTGTGATGAAGACGGCAAAGCGCCATCGCCACAAGGCGTTCGCAGCTAGCCCCTCTGGTCCATGGCGCAATCATGGAATGGCCATATTCCGCACTCGCTGCCCATGAGTCCGCTATTGAGTCTTTCTTTCTTCCTTCCGTACTTTTATGCTGTTGACTGTGGGATTTTGGCAGCGCCTCCACCAGCGCCATGTCCAACAGTGATTTTGACAAAGACACTCGTGTCGCAATCACTCCACCACTTCAGGGAAATAGCATGTTGCCCTCATCCCAGTCGCATACCTCAGAAAAGCCCCGCGTGGTGGAAGAGGTCGAATCCGAACATGACCATACCTCTGTGTCCTCAGCATCGACGCGATCCGACTCAATTGCTTCGGTAGCAGACGCTCGCCCTGCCATACACCACACATGGAGCAGGAATACAGGCTACTCTTGGCCTGGCGACAAGGACGACGCAATTGCGACCGTGACTACCAATGCAACCCAAGACGCCCGCTTTGAGGTTGATTTCGACGATGACGGCGAGAATCCACAGGACTGGCCAATGGCTAAGAAGGCAGTTGTCATCTTCTTCATGAGCTTCTCCACCTTAGTCGTAGTCATGTACTCCACAAGCTACACAAGCGGCATACCGGGCATGATGGCGTCGTTTGGCATACGCTCAAAGACGCCTGTCATTCTAGGCATCACGACATACATGTGTGGTCTTGCAATCGGATCGCTGCTTCTCGCGCCACTCAGTGAAATGTACGGCAGAAGACCAGTGTATTTGACTGCTGTCGCTGCCTTTACAATTCTCGTCTTGCCAAGTGCCATGGCAAACAACCTTGCGCAGATTCTTGTCATGCGCTTTTTTGGTGCCATTGCAGGAGCTGCCATGATCTCCAACGCTCCAGGTACCGTCTCTGATATCTCTCGCGAAGAATACCGCGCCCTGGCCTTTTCTATTTGGTCTCTTGGTCCTATGAATGGGCCCGTAATAGGGCCTGTGATTTCTGGCTTCGTATTCCAGGCTCTGGGTTGGCGATGGACAAATTGGGTTGTGATGATCGGCTCCGGTGCCTCATGGTTCATGGTATTCATGGTAAAAGAAACATATGCGCCAGCCATCCTTCGCGCAAAATCCGCCAAGAAACGCAAGGAAACATCTGATCCTCGATATTACTCGCGCTACGATGACAAGAAATCGTTTTGGCCTTTGTTGAAAGAGAATCTGTACCGTCCCTTCAGCATGGCCTTCAACGAACCGATTTGCATTTTCTGGGATGTTTACATTGCGCTCGTCTATGGAGTTTTGTACCTTTGCTTCGTGTCATATCCAATCGTTTTTGGAGAACTCCGAGGCTGGTCGCCCGGACTAGTGGGACTTGGTTACATCGGCATTGGCGTTGGGGGTGTACTGGTAATAGCCTCTGAGCCACTTATCCGCCGTATGATCAACAGTCACAAGAAGGACCCTGAAACGGGTAAGCCGTATCCAGAAGCTATGGTCAGTGTTGTCGTCATCGCAGCGGTTTGTGTCCCAGTGGGCGAAATGATTTTTGCATGGTAAGCATCCTTTAGTCTTTCTCAAATCAGCAGTTAACATTGCCACAGGACTTGCACTCCAAACGTTCACTGGATCTTTCCAATCCTTGCTGGCGTCCCATTCGGTGCTGGTAATTGTGGCGTCTTCATATACGCCTCAAACTACCTTGTTCACTCCTATGGTATTTATGCTGCCTCCGCGCTTGCTGGAAATGCAGTTCTCCGCTCTGCAATGGGCGGCGCCCTTCCTTTGGCCGGTCCTCAGATGTATAAGACCCTTGGTCCGCACTGGAGTGCCACTATGCTATCGCTGATAGAATTTGCCATGATACCCATCCCTGTGGTATTCTATCTCTACGGCCATAAGATTAGGGAAAAGAGCACATTGATTAGGCAGATGAGAGAGGACAGAGAGAGGTTAGAGAACAAGAAGAAGAGGGCCGCTGAGAGGGCTGAGAGGTTAAAAGCAGAGGACGTGGCAGCGGATTTGGAAAAACAAAAGATGGATGTTTGATGCTTGAGGATTACATGGTGTTTTACGCGATTCAATAAATTCACTAGAAATCTGACTTTGATTTTTAGCGCAAAGTATCTTTCAATCAGCACTCGATATAGTTCGTCCTAAATGAATACAAGGGTATGAGCTTGCCCTTTGGATAACTTATGCGACATCACATTATGGTGCGTAGGGTTCTACCAGCGGTTTACATCCGACCTAAGAATGAGGGCTTACTGCTAAAACTGTAATAGCATACCTTTTTCATCACAATTTCCATTGCACATATTGTGAAGCTCTGAAAACAGAAGTGCTAGTTGTAGCTGATACGTGGGTGACGATGAAGCAGTGTCCGGTCGGATTCATAGTGCCGCGGCGGCACTCGACATCTGCCGAAGGATGATCCACATCAACGGAAGAGGGCCGCGGGAGTATTGCGAACCGGTACTACATCGACGCCATTTGAGGGCAAAACCTGGGACATCATTTATACCCCATTCACATCCTGACAACTCAAGGAAATTTTTATAGAGCCATTGCAGCAAATCTACGAGCTTCCAGTGAGAAAGATAGAAAAGACAGCAGAAAGAGCACAAGTCACTCCATCATCAGCACACCCTCCACCAAATCAACCCCACCATGTCAACAAACCCGGACTCCACAAGATCAACCACCCCAAACTCCCTCATTCCCCTATGGATCAACAATGAACCCATCCACACCACCACCACCTTGCCCATAACCCCCTCCTCATCCACCACACCCTCCCACCACGCCTGCTCCGCTTCCCCCAAGGACGCCACGCACGCCGCAACCGCTGCCTGGACAGCCTTCAAATCCTGGCGCCAAACACCACACACCACGCGCCGGGACCTGCTCCTCCGCGTAGCAGACCACTACTTCACCCACAGCGCCACCCTCGTCTCCACCCAAACCCGCGAAACATCCTGCACCCCTGCCTGGGCCCTCCAAAACGTCAATCTCGCCATTTCCTACCTGCGCGAGATCGCCGCGCAAATCAGTAGTGTAGCCGGCGTTATCCCCCCGACTGAGAAACCAGGGACGACGGGCTTCGTATTCAAAGAACCCATTGGACCTGTCCTGTGTATTGCGCCGTGGAATGCAGCGTTGATCCTCGCGACGAGGGGGATCGCGAGTGCGATTGCAGTAGGATGTACGGTTGTCTTCAAAGCCTCTGAAATGTGTCCAGCTACGCATTTTGAAATCACAAAGGCGTTTGTGGAGGCGGGGGTTCCCGCGGGTGTGTTGAACCAGGTGCAATGTGTGCGGGAGGATGCAGTGGCGGTTACAGAGGCGCTTATTTCGCACGAGGCGATTCGCAAGGTTGAGTTTATTGGGTCGGCGGCCGTCGGGCGCCAGATTATGGCTGTTGCGGCGCGGTATTTGAAGCCGGTGTTGATGGAGTTGGGGGGTAAGTGTCCGGCGATTGTGCTAGAGGATGCGGATCTGGGGGTTGCGGCGAGGCAGTGTGCGTTGGGGGCGACGATGAATCATGGGCAGATTTGCTTTAGTACAGAGAGGGTTATTGTGCTGGAGGGTGTGGCGAAGGAGTTTCAGGAGAAGCTTGTGGAGGAGATGGGGAAGGTTACGAGGGAGATTACGGGGGCTGCGGTGTCTGAGGGGATTGCGCAGCATGCGTGTGATCTTATTCAGGATGCGGAGAAGAGGGGAGATAATGTTGTATTTCCAAGGTCTAGTGATGGGGATAAAGAAGGGTCTACGACGGTGCTTCCACCCACTCTTGTGCTGAATCCGTCTAGCAGTAGCAGGATATTCGACGAGGAGACATTTGGACCTTCAGCTTCGCTATACGTGGTCAAGGCGGATGAGGAGGCTATCCAACTCGCGAATCGCTCTGCCTACGGGCTCAACGCTACCGTTTGGACGCGCGACATGGCAAGGTTTCTCAAGATCAGCAGGGAGTTAGAGTATGGGCAGGTACATGCGAATACCATTAGCGTGTATACCAGTCCGACTGGGAGCCAGGGTGGAGTCAAGAACAGTGGGTTTGGCAGGATGAACGGAAGATGGGGATTGGAGGAATTTGTCGTGGAGAAGTTTGTTACGTGGTGTGCATGAGAATCCCTTTATTGACTTTGATGCCTTGAAAGCATGATAATAAAGAGAAGAAAATCTGTTGACTTTTAAATTTGTATATTGCGAACGCCGTGTCGTGTCCTAATAAGGTCTCGACCATGTTATTACAAATATTACAACAAGACGAGGCCTCGAAACAGCCTGTTAAACTCCCTCTAAATGCTCTCAAATTGACAGGAGCTAGCATGTGCGGAGTGGTCTTTCTATCCCTATGGAGAGACTCCGTGGACTCTACCCAACACATGCACGCTGTCCTGTATGCATTAAACTCCTTACTTTCTAACCGCTCGATTGTTTCCTCTACAGTATGACCCATTGCTTTACCAGGTAAATGTCATCAACTGCGGGTTAAGCACAATCGGCAGCAAAAAGTGACTAACAATAATCGTACCCATAGGCCAAACCGCAATCAGAGTCCTGATCTGCCAATCCTCCGGTAGCGCGAACGCCATTGTAATCATCACGGCTGTCATGGTAAAGCAGAACATGAAGCTCCATTTGAAGCGCCTGAGGACTTTGCTGATGGCCACGAAGAAAGAAACATGTTCGGACTCCTTGGATGTAGACCCCCATTCTAGCGGGATGCTGAGGAAGTGGCAGATGAGAGCCTGGGAAATGTGGAGGGAGATGCCGCCTAGGAAAATGGTGAGGAGAGGAATCCATTTGAGGTTGGTGAGGAAGCCGCCGAGAATGGAGCCTTCGCCGATGCGGTAGCGGAGGACGGCGAGGGAGATGTTGCCGAGGACGGTGAAGATGAGGACGATGGCGAAGTAGACTGGTGTTGTGTCAGTACGTGGATGATACGAGTGATGGTAGGGCAAAGAATGGGGATGCATAGTCATATTTGTTAGACTTACCGCGGAACGAATTGATGTAGTAGTGGTCGAGAAATCCGTTGAAGAAACCGATGAGGAAGTAGTTGAGCATGGTAAGAATCCACGAACAACCGAGAGCGTAGTAGGTACCGATGTAGGCCATGATAGTGATTTTAGATGCGAGTGGCATGTTTGAGCTAAAATTCTCAGGTTAGCTGAATGAATCTTGGGAACACGGGAGTGATCACAGGGTTTGTAGATTTCTGACTTACCGAAGGAACGTTCGGAAGAGCTTGGTGAAGGGACCCTTGGTAAACCACTTAATGAAGGGGTTGAAAATAAGCTCATTACATCCATAGGCATACCTAGATCACCAGAGTTAGCAAATCAGCGCTCGAAGAAATATTTCAGAGAACATACTTCTCCCATCGAGCAAGCTCGTCGTAGACCGTAATCGAGACACCTTCCTTGAAACCATCACCCTTGTACGAGGCCAGTCGGATAATGTAACCAGCACTCTGAAGTCGCAGACTCATATCAAAGTCCTCAGAAACAGTCTCCTCAGACCAGAACTTGTCGTAAGTTGTATTATCCTCCTCTTTGAATTTGTATGCAATCTTTTGAACCGCCTCCCAGCGCAGAATAGCGTTGTGTCCGACAAAGGGCGCTACATCGCCACCAGCGACAGCAAACCGGATCATAGTGTAAATCATGTTGGTAAAGAACGTGATGCCCTTTTCGAAGAAGTTGTTGGTGACGTTCATGACTCCGGAAGAATACTGGAGAATGGCAACTTCAGGGCTCTGCTCCATCTCGCTAACGGCCTCCAGTAAACAATCCTTGGGAACACGGGTATCAGAGTCAACCAAGAGAATGTAGTCGCCAATGCGAATGTTTCCGTCTGCCCAGGCTTCGCCCACATGCTCCGCCATAGCCGCCTCTATGGCCTCCTTGTAGGCAATGTTCTCGTCGAGTTGGGTCCAGCCCTCACCACGTGGGGTCTGGTTCAAGATTTCTTCGACTCTGCAGCTAATACGGAGGCCGTAGTTCATGTTGGAAGCCTTTTTGAACTTACCGGGACGAGTGAAAGGCTTGATTCCATGCTCGCCCTTGGGGTCGTGTCGAGGTCGAGCAACCCAGCCAATGCCGTGCTCGTCGTAGAACTCCTGGCGATCTTGGGCGTCTTCAGCCGAGAGAAGCTGCACTGTTGTTTTGTTATTATGCATAGTATTCTTCGGAGGTGCACATCAACTTACTGCCGTCATCGTTGATGAAGATGTTTGCACTTCCTCCTTGCAGCTCGTAAGTAGAGATCGCTTGCTTAATTGAACGAACAGTCGGCTCAATGACGGTACGTAGACCTTCCTTATATACAGGCATCTGTACGGTGACATGCGGGAGCGGTGCGCCAAAAGTATCACGATGGAGGCGTTTGGGCGCCTTTCCAGAGTAGTACCTGCTGTTTTCGTTCATCTGGTCGGTGGGGCCAAAGATCTGTGCAACATTGCCAACTACAGCTTGAAAGAAGAACTGGGTTCATCAGCAGACTGTAGTTTCTCACAATCAAGGGCATTTACCAGTGAAAGCCAAACTTGGGCAGGTAGGCAGACCAAGAAAAGCATTCGAAGCATGTCATAAGCCTGGACTTCTTGAATGGCAATCTGCCTCCATCCAGATCCGATAGCTGTCGTCAGTAGCAAGATGGACATACCGCAATAAGCAGATTGCCAAAGTTTGATATCGCGTGGGCCTTCATCTCTGCTGCCAGTAGGATCAAATACTTCGTCGTATTCTTCAACATCGACCATGGGGTTCTTGCCGAGGACTTTTTCTAGCTCAATATCTTGCGCGTCGTAACCGTATTCAGATCCACACATCATTCTCATCAAAGCATTGATGATAAACTCTGCCCTTTCGAGCAGCAGCTTTGGGTCATCTTGCCACACGACCAGCATGCCACGAGAGGCAATGAACGCAGCCGACTGGCCCCTTTGGCAGAATGGGAGAGCTTCAAAGTCAGGAATGACCTGGAGACGTAGACCGGATTGAATCTGAACATAAGAAACAGTGGTACGCTCTAGGATATACTTGATAACCCGAGTGTTGACAGTTATGGCGCACTTGAGGACGTCAGAATTGGAGATTATCGAGGGACGAAAATCCATTCACTTACCCGAACATTCAATTCGGTGACCGCTTGGTAGAGGCCTGTACCGTCATTCTGAACTCCATGGGGCGCACATGCGTAACTCCCTTTTGCTCTTTTCATGAAAACACCTTCGCCAGGTCCACCAAATGTCCATACTCGCTCTTCCTGCTTTGTGTGCAGCCAGTTCGACAATATCTCAGCTTTGAGGTCTCGTACAGCATCTGTTCCCGAGATGGTGCTGTCGCGGGTGGGTTCAGAATCGGCGACGGAACTAGAGCTTGGGGAATTGGTCCCTCCGAGTTGAAGAGGTATAAAACTTGCGGGTTGGGATCTGGATCCTACAGAAGCGCTGCTTGGATTGACCTTATGCTTCCGTGCGAGGGGTTTCAGTGGTGGAGGTTCCTCGCTGTCGTCTGCGGCATGCTCAGCGCGGGAGCTACCTGGAAGTCTCACTCCGAGACCCATTGTGCCTTAGATGACGTGCCGAAAATCAAGGTGACGGCCAGAGAGTGTTCTTGGAGTGAGATAGGATAGAAAGTGTCGAGCTACTAAAGCAGGTGAAAGGTAGATATTTATCGTCCTGACATGATCCGAGCGTACCAAAATTTCGTTGAGTAGAGATGATGGTCAGTCACTTCATAGTTTCATTTGATACTTCAGTTGAATTTTTTAGATGTGATATGTTTGGTCGACTCGAAGATCAAACAGTGTATGTGGGCTACTCGACATGGGTTGACCCGTTGGAAATAGAATTGGATCATAGAGATCACGGGCCGCCTAACTTTCCTTGCGCGTCTAGATATCACAAGTGGGCGGTAGCATTGTGAGTATCTGGTTGGGCGTGCGCTTCGGTTGCGCCGCTCTGTTATAATTGTGTTGAAGCTTGCTCAACCAGAAATACTGTCTTGTCATTGCTACAGCTGTAGCATGAGTCTCAATGTCACTTTTACTGCACGTAAATCCGCATGATATCGTAGGAACATTGTACGAAAGCGATGGGTGTCTATAACTCCATTAGTGTTACTAATAGCAAAGAACAGGCTCACCCACTACGCGAGTAGCGGCACCCAACGATCCAGTACAGTATCGAGGCATTGCGGACCATTCAGTGGGTTCGTTGGAAAATACAGGTGAGTGTAACAAAGCTGTCTCCAGGAGTGAAGATTATGACGTCTGCCGAACCGTTAATACTTAGTTGGTATGTCATTGTGAAGCACGTCATGTTATCCTCTCATGTACGCAAACGGTAAATTTAGAAAATATCAACCAATACCTACTGTGAGCCTATGACCGTGGGCTGGCCGGAAATTTCAACTCCGAAGTACGGTAGTTTATGTAAGTAATGGGGCGATAGTCTTGTACGGTATTGGAACATGTGGTCCGGGCTGGCGCTGTACATTGATTGACCTATCTCTACCTCCCAGTTCGCAATATCAAAGTTTCCATAGATTGGCCATGCAGCATAACCCATACACACTAGGTTTTTCTTGGTCAGTTTTGGTAGCCGCGAAGATCACCAAACACAGTGCAGCGCAGTCGATACCTAATTAAATTGCGGCAACGTGTCAAGAACCGCGTACTCGATACTTTTTGTGCTGTAAATAGAACATTCCCATTGGCCGAGTATACTACTGATGTGGTAATGCGTCCATGTCAGGAACGGATAGCCCACTGAAAAACCTCGTATTGTTATTCGGTCCATCTGGCCGAAGGAAGCAAAGAAATAAAGTGCGGAAAAGAACCCAAACAAAAAGAGGGAACCGATGACGCTAGTCGGCAAGCCTAAAAAGTCAGTATACTATACATAAGACTCGTCTTGAGGGCTGCTGACCTGTAGCTCACCAGCGTGTCAACGCGATGATTGCTAGTGCTGAAGCTTCGTAGCTGCACCTTCTCGCCATTCTGGATCTCCTTCGCATCGCTGTCACCCCATTCGAGTGGGACATCGGAGTCGGCGTCAGCATACACAAGAACGTTGAATGTGCAATTTCCGTCGAGCATTGGCAGGAAAGTCACGG